AAATTTGAATTTATTTTTATCCTCCTTCATTGCTAACTCATAATCAGTACCCCTTATTACAATCTCATCCTCATTCATCAGCTTCCATTTTAAAGTTTCTCCAATTACATATCTGGTTGCGGAGGTTGGGAATTCGATTCCCCACTGTGCCTCCTGGGATAAGAACCAAACTATGTGGCCTTGGGCAAGCTGCAGGTGCCCCCAGAAGAAGGAAATGCTAGACCACTTGTGGGTATTCCCTACTTAGAAAACCCTGGAAAGGGTTGCCATAAGTCAGAATTTACTTGAAAGAAAGCAGTTATTATTAATATAATATTAATGTTGTGCTTCTTTGTAGAATTTAGAAGAGTATGAAGTTGGTGAAACATTTAATCTACTTTTACATCTGCTGGATTTGTAGTCAGTGCATGTATTTGTATTATGTTTATTTCTGCTGGTGTTTCATAGAATTGTAATTTGTAATTATATGACAGAGCTACATAACATTTCACAAACCTTCCTATTTGCTTATCAGCTGCTGTTTCCATCTGTATTGATTAATGCTCCATTTCTGTCATGATGGCATTATCATTTTGGTCCTGGTATTGGAGACAGCTCAGTTTATATTAAATCTGAGATGTGTGTGTGTTTTAAAATACTGTATAAGCAGAAAAACTGACAAAATTTAGACTAGTACTGTACTGACTTTTGTGTGTAGTAATGAAATAGATAGGGGTTTGAATTCATGCTCAGCATGGGAACTCACTTAGGCTAGAACTGATAAAAACAGTCCTTAAATTAGAGTTGCTGTAAATTGATTCTAGCTTAAGAGCACATGGCAACAAAAACCGAAATTCAACCCTTTGTATTTGTGTTAGGTATAAAATTCTTACCTGTACAGGGAAGCGATGTATAAAAGCTGTAGGGAAAAGGCAATCTGGATCAGGATTGGCAGGAGAGATTTTAACATTATTCTCCACCCAGTCTCCTATTTTCAGCCAAAATTCCCCACATCTGTACATCATGATATTGGGTGGAGTCCTTCTGCGTGTATGAGGTCCTTAAAGCCCAAAAGATTGCCTGTCCCACATTTCAACCAAATAATATACTTAATGGAGATGGAATTATTCTTTTTCTTGTGTTTGTTATGACAGTTTTGAATTTACTACGTACCTTACTTTTCTAATTAAATACAGGGATTCAAATCTGGTTTCTCTGTATAAGCCAAGTTTTTCTGTATTGAAGCTTTTTGAGAGAAAGAAAAAAGATCTGAAATTCAGTGGGTTAAGGAGGCAAGGCAAGAAGCTACTTAAACGTTTATTGTTGTAAATTAAATTGCATATCGTGTTAAATATCTGGGGTTTTTTCAGCCATAAGATTTCACCAGCATGTGATGTATTTCGTTAATGAGGACATTCATATATTCTTGAACAGTATTTTATAATTACCAGTCAACTTTCCAAACATTTGCAGTGTAAGAAATGAGGCATTTTAAAGGATGCTACAGCACTAATGCTTATGGATTCAATTAATTGTAAATTTCTGCTGTAAAATTTTTGGATCTCTAAATATTTAATGCATCTTTTATGAGAAATGGAAGTTTGAAATGTTTGTTGGCAGGGTTACAACAAAGTGCTTGGTCTTAATTTGAAAGCTCTTAATTGCTAAGACTGCATTGCAATTTCTGTGTTTAGAAACAGCTTCCATTTTCCTTGATTTGCAGAGAATGGAAGAAATATTTTGACTCACACCACTTTGTATATATTTAGAGTTTTATCATATATTGTAATTACTGCATATTTATAACTAAAGCCTTAAAATAAGCTGTAAAGATTTGACAGGGAAGCAATAGGTTAACAACAGGCAAATATCAGAGAAATTGCTTGAGGGTTCATTAAACATGTTTGGTGGGTCTCTGCTCTATTTATTCATACTGGAAGAGTATTCTTAATAAAAATTGAAGAAATCAGAAAAAAAATTGTAGAAAGAGAGTGTTAGAGGTGAAAAAGGACAACACTCCACATAGGCAAGACCAAGTTTCCTCTGAGGTGCACGGCTGCGTGCAACTCCATCCCCCTCCGTGCAGCATTCCTCCTCCTCAGTGCATCCACAGCAATCATTTCCAGCCTCTCTAGATCTGTTCACTGCGGGACCCCACGCAGGGGCGCACAGAGTTGCATGTATGAGGGGCGGAGCCCAGTGGAGCTGAAAATTAGAGGGAACATTGGGCAGGACCCAAATTTATTCCCTCCTTGTAGAATATATTTTATGAAGTATTCAAAGAAACTTATCTCTTCGAATATAAATATATACTTTTTTCCAACTTGTATAATTAAGATGTATAGCCAGTGTTCTATTCATCTGACAAAGTGCAGGAGGGCATGTGTTTAAATATTCTTCTTGCTCTGGCATGCTCCGAGTTTTCTACCCACTGCATGAAATTTTAGAATTTGTATGCATTTCTCACATTATAGCACTTATTTTTTTTAAGAAATTACATGAGTGGGTTTTCCACAGAAAGCTTCTGTTTTGTACAAAATAGAAGAGTTTTTAAATATAAAATATAAGTGTTCAATAGAAAAATAACACAGGTTTTTCTTTTGTTTTGTTAGCGGTCTTCTTTTGGTATATGGTGCTATTGACAAAAATATGCTGTTTTGAATAAGAGGAAAAATTCTCATAATACTTGAGCATTTTTTCAGTAAGGTGTCTTGATGTGTCAGTGCACCCTTCCATCAAAGATGAAAAAAATTATTTATTATATCCTTAAAGTAAAATTTAAATCTGTCCTATGTGAGAGTTTTTGCCTTGAAGGAATGCATCTGTTATTCTTTAAACTGAGTTCTATGTGCCCTTGTAGAACGTATACTTATGTGTACATCTGTGAGTATTTCTCGTGTGTGTGTGTGTGTGTGTGTGTGTGTATGTGTGTGTGTTAATGTGAGACACTGTAAATAAAACAAGTAGTTCACCTAAGCCACCAGTTGTATGTTCTTAAAAATATCTTTCATATATTGTATGAACCCCAGGGAATGCTGAAAATACCAAATGTTTCCGTTTATAAGACAATCCCCTTTTCTAACCCCAAATATGAAAATTTGATCGCTGCTGTCCCTGCCACTTCCTAAATCCGGGACTTAGCAAAAGGGACAGAAAAGCAGGTATCAAAGGGCTGAGCCCGCAACCAGCAATGGAGGCAGCAGCAGGAGGAGGCAGAGACTGAGGCAAAGATGCATCTGGGATCGGCCGCCTCTCACTGCTGCCCATTGACTGCTGCCGCTGCCCGATCGCAAGGAGATGATCGCTAGAGGGGGCAATCGGGTGGCAGTGGCAGCAGTCAGTGGGCAGCAGTGAGAAGCGGCCGAGCCCAGCTGCTTCTTTGCCTCAGTCTCCGCGTCCTCCTCCTGCCTTCCATGTATAAAATGACCCTCAATTTTTTTCCTCTAATTATTTTAGGAAAAAGTGTCGTTTTATATACAGAAAAATACAGTGCTTGTATCTTTCTTCATTACTAAATACTTCTTGATACACAGTGTGTACATAATGAATTTCTATTTTTTTCTAGTTGGATTGATCCAGCAGTTTCTGGTACTTCAGATTTATGTACCATTGGGACAAGACTTCTCAACTGAGCTCCTGTAAGATAATACTGAACTTACCATGTTTCATGCACCATAGACAATCAGTTGAACCAGTATAACTTACTATCAGTTGAAAGTTACAGGTTTTCATAATATGAAAATACATGAATAAACTGTCTATAATGTCATATTGTGTATATATACTTTTAATATATATATTAAAAGCAAAGGTGATCAGTTATTGAAAATGGCCAATTTTATCATTCTAAAAGAGTGAGGGATGCAGTTTTTTCTATTTTTTGCTTGTGTAATTATTGTTGTGGTAAAAAATGAGTTGTTTTGTTTAGTTCATTATAAGTCTACCTGGAAAATCCATTACTATGGATTATGTGAATCATATGACTAAACAATAGTCCTGTTATTTTGACAGAACAAGGACACAAATGACTTGTTAGCAGTCTTGAGCTCTCCAAGGGTAAGCAGGGGTGTAACAGTTTGAAATAAATTAGTGTGTCCCTGTTGCTCTCCAAGGGTAAGCAGGGGTGTAACAGTTTGAAATAAATTAGTGTGTCCCTGTTGCTGCCAGAGTGTGAAGGGGTTCGCTATCTCCCTCTGGCGGTCCCTCATTTTCGGAGGGAAATAACAACGGCTTAGTCTTTATAACTTTCAAACCGTCAACTTTATTCTCCCCAATATCCACCAGCACTTCACTTGAAGGTATTAATCCAACTTGGGCAACAGGCCACTGGCATCATTAACATAACTTTTATCATAGTCCCATGTACTCCACAGGGTTGTGCTCCACGCCATCCCTTGTCCTCCGGTTGCGGAGATTTGATAGATTACCATCGACTCCACATCTTACCCTAATTGTGGTCTGTTGGTAGAGGCTTCTAATCATTCGAGTAGAGTTTTTTCCCATAAATTTCCTCTGGGTATTGAGTTGAAGGCAGACTTTAAATCTATAAAAGCTGCAAACAGGACATTCCCATGACAGCCCATATACTTCTGCAAGGTGATTCAGTACTATATAGTGGTCAAAGGTGGAGCAGTTCTTCCTAAAACCAGCCTGTTCATTCCCTAAGATATCCTCCTCCTCAACCCATGTAATTAATCTATTATTAAGATATCTAGTGTAAAGCTTGCCCACTATTGATAGAAGGCTAATTGGTCTATAATTTGAGGGTTCATCTCCCTCCCCCTTCTTATAGTTTGGTATAACTATTGCCTCTAACCAGGAGTATGGGATTTGCCCCGTGTTATTAATGAATATAAATAGATGAAATGAAAGGGTCCCCCACCAGCCTACATTGGTCTTTATAGACTCTGCATATTGGATTGGATCCTGGTGCCTTCCCTGATTTTAGACAAGCTATTACTGGCCTTATTTCATTTTTGCTTACTGGGTCCCAGTTTGGGAATTTGTTTAGATCTAGGGATATGATGTTAACAGTTTGTGAGGGTTTGGTTTCCTCAAATATTTGGGTGAAGTACCATTCCCATATATTTGCCGAGATACTACAGCAAGCTGATCCTGATCGTGCGCCTAGCATCCTGGAGACCAAGGCCCAGAATAGCTTAGAATCTTTATTTAGCACAGAGTCTAACAAGATGTTCCATTGTTTTTGAATTGATTGTTTCTTTTTCTGAGCAATCAGGGTATTATATTGGTTTTTAACTACTGTACATAGTACTCTTGGGGGAGAACTGCCAGATTCTTCTTCCTATACTGCATGTATATTTCTCTAAGTTGGTTTTTATTTTTAAAGGGAGCATTCCATATCAAACCATTTAGGAGTGTACATTCCAGTTGTTTATGGGCGTGAGATTGTTTTGGGCTTAGAACAGATTGTATTGTTAAAACTAGGGAGATGTAGTTTGTCATGATGGAAGCCAGGGTAGATTCTGTAGGTGCTGTTATTAAGTTTCTTAATTTCTCACTGGGAGGAGATTTTAGGAAACTGGAGGCTTTTACATTAACTTCATCTGTCCAAATTAGGCATTTATACCGTACAGGTAAGACATCGTCACCTAAATGATGCTCAGGGGGAAGGTGTATTGAATTTAGTAGTGACAAAGTTAAAAGTAGGGGTAAATGAGCGCTATCTGTTCTATGTCCAACAGAAAATTCCTTAACCAATCTGGTTAAAGATAGAGAGATTAACACACAGTCTACCACGCTGCTACCCCTTCCTGATACAAAAATAAATTCTGCACAGTTATCAAACAGTTCATTGCCATTTACAATATAAAGAGTAAGTTGTTCTGCCATCCATGCCAGGCATATCCCACTATAGTTGATCTTCAAATCTTTTATGTTCTATAATTCATCACGGTGTAGTTCTCTACAGAGTCTGTACCCCAGGAATTAGAAGAGTAAAAGATGTCATTGTTTGATCCAGTTCTTGCATTCTGGTCTCCCATAAGTATCACCATGTATGCATTAGGGGCTATGGATTCTAAGTTTGTAATATAATGTTCCAATCGGTTCCACATTTGAGTTGTTTGATGTTTGAAAGACAACGTAGGAATATAAGCATTGATAATCAAATAAGCCCTTGACCTGATAACAAGTAAGGCGACCATAGCAATTTTGTCACAAGGTGGAAGCCATTTGACCCTAGACTTCAAAGCAGTAGAGAACATTAGAGCCATCCCCACTTTTGGATGATCCTTTCCATTGCTAGGATTTGCATGGGTGTTAAACACCAGATAGCCATTCAAACTAATATTATCAATGCTCCAGGTTTCCTGTACTACAATTATATCATGTAAAATAATCGAGTATTCCTTGGTCACTCTGTCTGGAGGCCCAATCGACTATGTTCCATGAAAGGATTTTCAATAATCAGGCCCTTGAAGTTGGGGCTATCTTTTGGGCCTCAGTCTTAACATCTGGATATACAACAACATTTCCATGCAACATTTCTGGGGCATCCAGCTAAGTTTCATGGTGCTGGTGTTTAAGCACTCGGGTTCATTGAAACCACTATTTGGTCAGTACATAAGTTCCAGGCGGGTCTGCCCTCATAGCTGCTATAATCCCACTGGACATGGTTTAGATCTTTGTGCCTAGCCTGATTAAAATCAATGAATTGCAGATCCGCCTTAAAATTTGCTCTGTAGTTAGCAGAATAATTTGTATTTCCATACATATATGCGGGTCTGTTATAGATTCCCCTTCTTTTCTTAGCTGTTGCATATCTGTCTCGTATCAGCACTGGGGTTTGTCTGCTGTTGTTTCCTGCAACTTCATTACTGTCCACTTTGGCTGTAATCGCCTCCGAATTTCCATTGAGTAGAGAGTGTGCTTCGCCTTCCTCTGCTGGTGGCTTTTTGGCTTTCTCCCCCGTTTTCAATGTGTGCCATTGATTTCTCTCTTTTGAAGACACTTGTCTTGCTTTTCCTTTTCCTTGCTGCAGAGTTATTTTGTCATCTTTGTTCCTTAGGTCATCTTGCATTACATCTAGCATTTGAAATAAGGGTTTATAATAATCCTTTCCCCTTTTTTGGTAAGATATTTGAAACCCTTCTTACTTTTGTTGTTCTTATTAACCTTGCAATTTGGTTGTCTTACAGAGTTAGTTAACCTTTTTTTTTTTTTTGAGGCTTTGTCTTTAACTTTGAACTTCACCTGTTCCTCTCTACTACTTCTTTTGGGTATGTTTGATATAGTCTCTTTGGTGGTAGTTTCACCATTCACTTTATCTAGGTCCAGCCTAGAGGGCAAGGACCAACCTTGATTTGCCTGTATAACACAAGAAAGTACTTCTTCATAGGCCTTCCCCACAGCCAATCCCTGACCTTCCCCATTTTTCCTTTGCCCTAGCCTCCGTTGCACTTCGTTCTTGCCTTTCCCTTATCTTAAAATTGTTTTAATTTTATTGTAAATTGTTGTTGTTGTAAGCCGCCTAGAGTGGTCCTATGTGATTCAGATAGGCAGGATATAAATTAAATACATAATAATAATAAATAATAATAAAGGCTAGTGATTTTCTGGATGATGTTAGATGATAAATTAAAGTTTTCACCAGCTTCTGCGCACAAGGAGGCATTTGGTTTTCCACTGTGTCCAAAAGGATCATCTGTAGATGGAATAACCCTTTCCTTCATTAAATCAACCAAACATCTCAGCAGGTCTTTTATATCCTTTTCTGAGTCCTCTATTTCCAAGATAATATTTTGAGGGAAGTGAGTACCTCCTTCTGGTAGGGTTGGAGCTTGATTACACTGAGACTTATTGTGTATAGCCAGCTTTGGTTCCTTGGCTGTACTCTCATCGAAGATAGGGAGCCTTGTTAGGTATTCAGCTTGGGTATTATTGTGTTCAGCGGACATTTCTGCAGGGATAGCCATATTACATGGAGGGGATATAAAGTATTCCATTCTCATCTTGCCAAAGTCATCACTTGAAAAGCTGTTCAAGGGAGATGTCCCTGATCAGTGACCGTATTTGGCAAATCAGTGATTGAGCTACATGGCCATTCTTTGCCATTTGATTTTTGTCTCCAGGTGTTGTCTGTCATCTTAGTTTGCCTCCTCCTTCTTTGTGTTCTGTTATCACTCTTGCTACTCTGAGGTTTGTCCTTTAGTAAATGATCTGAAGTTTCAGTATACTTGCACTTCTTTCTAAGTTCAGAAACAGGGGTAATGGACATAGTACATCTCAGCACCTATTGCAGCACTGGGGGAGATAAAGTTAGGTCAAGTATTTGATCAGATGACGGATCAGTTATTAAAATAGGCTCTTCCATTCTCTGTAGATTCTCTATAGGTTCTGATTGAAGATGCAAATCTCTGCGTTGTTATATTGTTGAGAAGCAGAGCGTGGAAGTGTGGAATCAATTAATGAAACTGAAGTTCAGCAACTCAGGGTCCTATTATTAATAAATAAATAAATAAATAAATAAATAAATAAATAAATAAATAAATAAATAAATAAATAAATAAATAAATAAATAATACTCAGATTTATTATCAATAGTTCGTTCTCAAACTGGGAGGAGGTAAGTAGCAGTCTGTCACAGGGCTGAGTCCTTGAGAAGCAGAGCGTGGAA